TTTTTTTAAGTTTATTTGATTTGGAAAGGGTTTTGGGGGCTGACGGCTTAAATGCGTTTCATGTGTCCCAGAAAATATGGCTAAGTGTTTACCACATGGTTTGTTTCTAAGCAACTAAGCAAACATTCATTAAAAAAATATTTCAGATCCTTGTGCTCCTGAGAACGTATCTCCTGCCCTGAGACAGACACATCTGCTGGGAAACTGCTGCTGGCAGAGCGCTGAGGGCAAGAACGGGATGGGGGAGCGGGGGGGACAGCAGGCACTGGCTCCTGCCAGGAGCGGCGACCACAGAACTCTCCAGCCACGTGGGGCAGCGGCAGCCAGGACCTGGGCACCCTGGCACCTTTCACCCTGTTTTGGTTCCCACGGTTCCATGAAAAAGTAGCTAAGAGCAGTTAATTTTATAATCACAGGAGGGAGGGTCCATGGACATTCTTAAGCTTGTCTCTACCGACCTTAAAATCTTCCACTCGATCCACAGGACAGCTGAGTCTGGTCTTGGAGAGCCCATGTCCTGCACCACCAACATGGCAGCTCCTGGGTGGGAGCTTCTGCAGGCTCCAGATCCTTCTGCACGAACTGTCCGCACAGTTCAGCTGGGCCCACGGCCCAAGAGAGAAGAGGAGTAACGCGGGGATGTCACAGAGACAAGGTGTCAGAGCAATGGCCCCGTTTCTAAAGCTCCAAGTCCCTCGAGGACACCACAGTCCACAACCTCCCAGTCCTTGAGGGGTACAGTAGCTCGGGGCAGGTGTCTGTCAAGTCCCCACGGACACCAAACAGCCGAGTCTCCTTTCCTTTCTCTTTTTTTTAATTTTGAGGGGAGAGAGTGAAAACCCGAGCGGCGGTCCCGTGGGGTCTATGGTGGGGAAGGTGCAGTGCACAGTGGATATTAAGCACGCACGTGAGGTGGACGCTCAGATTACATGCCTGAAATACCATTCACAATTCTAATTAGCGCCATCAACAGGGTACAGATCACAAAGGAATCATTTTCACCAGCTTGTCTTTACGCGGAGTGAGTGACAGCTATGAAATCCCCATCAGAGGTGTGAAGGTCACAGACAAGCTCCTCTCCTCTGTGTGAAGCTCCCGGACACCAGCAGTGAGCACCTCCAGGGAGAGCGGGGGCAGCTCATGTCCCTCCCGCCCCCACGGGGAACAGGACAACCGTGCTCCGTGCAGCTCCCGCCGGAACACGGGTGCGAAACACACGGAGGGTCGCTGGTGGGGGGATTCCCTCCCGTGACACAGGTGTTTGAGTCCCAGCCCCTAACACCCGTGACGTGACCTCATCTGGACACAGGGTCTTCGCAGACGTGACAGACATGAAGCCAGACAAGAGCAGGGTGGGCCCTAAGTCCAGGGCCTGCCATCCCCGAGAAGAGTGCGATCTGGACACAGAAACGAAACCCCTGGAAGAACACTGCATGGGGACAGAGGCTCGGGACAGACCCGTGCTCAGAGCCTCCAGGAAGAACCAACCCCGTCAACACCGTCATCTCGGACTTCGGGTCTCCAGCACGGGGACAGTAAGGCTCTGGGGAGTGAAGCCACGCAGTTTGCGGCCATTTGTTATGATGACCCTAGGACTCAGACACGCACACATGCACGCACACGACTAAATGGATATTTGCCTGCACAAAAATTTCACTCCCTGGATGACTTTGATGGGATCACTGGTTCCCCGCTGAGTTACCCACTTTTGCATTGCTAATTTACTCATTAAAAAACACACATAATATTGAAATCAATCCCTCATTTAAACTGTGTGAAACACAGTTAAATTAAAACTACTGAAATCGTGTTTGTCAACTCTCTTTGCTATAAGAAAATCCATGAGAACGTATCACCCGGTTCAAACACAACAGCTGTTCTCCTCGGAGACCCAGCTACAATCCATCTGATGAAAAGTACATTCCAGCAAAAGTCCGGATCATCCCGCGCCAGTTTCCGACAGAGAGAACTCTCCTGAAAACAGAAGGCCTTCCCCACCGTAAACGGCCAGCAACGTGAAGATCCCGCGGCAGGTCAGAGTGGCGCTAAGGGGCATTTACACGTTAAGGAAATCAAGGAACAACCCTGTGAGGGCAGGAGAGCTCCAGCAAACCGTGTGCACTGGCTGATCTCACGGCCACCAGCAGCAGCGAGCCGGAGCCTGAAGTCACTGCCATGTGCAGCTGGGGGCAGCCGGTCTCTCCAGCAGGTGTAGGAGGAAAGGAGGATGAGTTACAAGCGGAGAGCCCCACAGCTCACTGGATGTGCACTCCCCCAGCATGGCGCTGGAGACGCCCGTCATCAGCTCGCTGCCCCCTAACCTGACCCTCTGTCTCTGCAAGTAGTTGCGGGTGGGGCTGAGCTATGATCGGCTTCATCAGCCGCTTGCACGCATGGGACGGGATTCCATGGCTCCGACGCTCTCCACAAACCTGGGCAATGTTTCGGTACATTCCAACTCCAGAACAGCCTGAATGGAAAGCTTCTCAATGAAGTAAGCACATGTAATCAGTCGATGTTATTAACACGTTCGACAACAACCAAGATCACTTTCCAGCTACAGGCTCCCTGGCAGAATTCCAGTTCCAGAAAGAACTCCAGTGTGGACAGTGAGAAATCAAGGCTTTCCTCAATCATGTCCTTGCTGAAACAACCTGATTCTCCTGCTGCTATGAGACTCGCCCAGGCCAGGGGACAGGAAGCGGCAGTCAGTTCCCCGGCCTCCCTATGAGGCAAGGATGTGGCCACCTGCCTGGTTCCAGAAAGGCACAAGCAGACAGCCCCTGGGAAACAAAGATTCAGGGGGGCTATGGGGTTTCCAGGCATGCGGCAGCACCTGCCCGCAGTTCATTCTGCAGCCAGAGGCCCTGAAGCACGTCCACTCAGGAGCACATGGGGGCCCCACCCTTGACCCGAGTCACACGTGAGAGAACAGGTGGGCGGCCTGAGTCCCTGGAAGTCAAGAGAAAAGATCATGGAGTCTTTCCCCTGATCCAGGACACCTTGGGCACAAGCCCCACTGTGCGGGATGAGACTTTGCAGATGAGGAAAGGGATGTCCTTTGGTGTACTCATGCACGCTTCTACCCTATAGGGTATTTTTAAAACTGTACGCAATGCCATGAAATTTCAGTAGAGTAAAATGTGTTAAACAATCAAAGGAGGGGGTTCATTAGAGACCACAGTTTAAGTCACCCCACTGAGTATAATTTGCCTGAAATATGAACATTAGAGAAAAATGCCTTCATGCTCATCAAAATATAAGGGTCCCTTGCAAAGAAACCCCAAATGTGATGGAATAGACCAAAAATAGGACATGGGAAAACAGCAAAAGCCCCAGTAATGACAAAACAGCCCTACATGGGGAAGGGACGGGCGTCCGTGACTCAGGGGCTCTCGCACTGACCGCACTGGACACTGAACCAAACTCGGGAGAAGCCTGAGCACTGGCAGCAAAACCAGGGGCCCAGACCGTATCACCGGCGACCCCTGAACAGAATCGGGGCATGTAAGGAGAGTGTGGGCAGATTCACTCGAAGAGGTGATCGTGTCAAGTCAGGTTAGCCCACCCCTCAGCATCTGATGTCATCAACAATACCTAACCCCAACAAAGATGCAGAAAGGCCAAGAAAAAAGCTCCAGCCCCGGCTCCCTCAGTGCAATCAAAACGACTACGGCTAAAATCCACGCTCAGACACCAAGGAACAGACGCGTCAGCAGCGCAGCCCAGGCACAGATCCCAGGGAGGAAGTCAGAAAGACCCAGAACCTTCTCTCCCCCCACCCCTCTCCAGATCGTGCCTTTCCCAGCATCTGTGTTCATTCTCCATTGGACAGCTGGGGGCTTCTCTTCGATTCCCAGCTAGGAGCCTCCGAGTCTGATCTCCCTACGCCCTCAGCTCCACGTGGATAACGAAGAAGCGGGCCTTTCCCTGAGGTGACCACCACAAGGTTTTGATGACAGGGTTGCAAAGCTCTGCAGAATGATGGCAGAGCCCCCAGAGAGCCCCAGAACGCCAGCCTTCCGTACCCTTCTGAATGGTTACACAGTCTCCAGGACAAGAGTTAAATACTAGAACAGGTGTTACAGGGAACATGAGAAGCTACTCAGGACTACTGCTAAGGACACAGCTAAGGGACAAAACAGGGTGAAATGTGTAACTTAAATAAAAGGGTAAAATGAAACAGAATCGATGGCACACGGAACAAGGAGGAAGGGAACACTACAGTGCGAAGTTGAGCCTGTCCTCTCTCTTCAAACAAGACAAGCGCTGCCATGAAGAAAACGTATAGTTACCTGCATCCATATCTGCAAAGAATGGAACAGCCAGTAAGAGAAAGAAGGAACCAGAAATTCAGTGTCTCAGAATTGGATTTTAAAAGGTTATACGGAGAGAAAATATCATTCAGAAAGCCGCCTGTGAACTCTACATTGATTAAAGACACAGGGATTGCATGGCTTCCTGCTGTTACCGTAATTTCACTTAAAGCAAAAAATAAAATATGAGTATGTTAACTGAAGCAAAAGCCTGATGGCAAAAGAAATCTCTTACTCTCATGCAAAATGACTCTTAAGTGTTTATAATAGAATATACGGGGAAACATACTCAAACATGTGGTGGTGGTCATCTGAGAGGCTCCGATCCGTGACCAGGTAACAGTACATACAAGTTATGGATAAACTCGATATCCAGATAAGAGAACTGTCCGAGTAATATTTAAAGGGGGTGACACTGGATTGCCATTTGAAACGCCAGGACTATTACATAAGAAATAAAATCAACAGCATTTCAAGGCTCTACTCTACTGTTCTAAATGCCAAAGTAAATATGATCAGTTAGCTAAAAATACTATGGAAGAAATGACACACCTAAGGATTTTTACTGCTTGGTATTTTACTTTCTTGAAGTGTGATGCATCATCATCATGATTTAGAATATGCGACAGAAAAATTTAATGAACTAAACGCTCTCGAGCTTGAGACAGCCTGCAGACAGCATACCTTCGGGAGACTCCTCCTGGACGTACGTGCCGGTCAGATACCGGTGCACCAGGGCCGACTTGCCGCTGGCCAAATTACCCACGATCCCCTGAAACACATAATCGGACGACTGTTCATTATCATTACATCACTCCACTCGTCAATCTGCAAACAGAGAGAGGTTAACATGTACGGTAAGGCGAAGCATGATCATACCCAAGCATCGGCTGGAAGGCCCAAACCTGGCTTGTTAAATTCTCCTCCTGAGTCAAAGGAGTTCCTAAGCTCTCACTTTCCACCTCCCGTTCTTGTCGGTCTCGGGGCTCCGAGGGCGTCAACGCCATCAGAGCACACACGGACAGTGGCCTTCTTCCTGAGACTTCTTGCAGCTTGCCCATCAAGGACCCCCCCTCCCCATATTTTTACCTTTCCCTTCCCCACCAGAACTCTCCTCTCTGCGTTTAAGCATGCCCAAATCCATTCCTTAAGAAAAACAAAACAAGAGCTCTGTCTCAGGACGCAGGTCCCCTCGTACCAGAGCCAGGCTCTCGGCCATGCTCACCCTCCCGGTCCCGCGCTCCACCCTTACAATCTCAAGATTTGGTCCAAGAGCTACAAGGACGCTGCCCCTGAGGTCAGCAAGGACTACATTTCTCAGAGCACTAGCCTTTCTCTTGCTCCTGACCCAGCCCATCACCAGAAGCTGTAGATGAGCCGCGCTTTCTTCAAACTTTCCGCCCTGTGCTTCCTCCTCGAACTTCCTCTCAGCCCACATGGGCTCCTTCCAGATCTCCTAGTTTCTTCTAGATCCTTGACTCCCATGCCCCCAGTGTGCCTGGCCACATCCCTCCAACCCCCAGTAAGCTACTGATCCCAAATCTCATTCTCCAACCCCCCACCAGGAGAACTATATAAGTTCTCTGCATGCACCCCACACCATCCATGCTGGTACTCAAACCCCAGCACCCCCAGACCTCACCGCTCTCCCCAGTTTGTTCATCCATCTCTATGGCCACACCCCACCCAGCCTCTCAAACCAGAAACATGGAAGCCATCTCAGACTCTCACCCTTCCCAGTCATGGAGCCCCTGCCCTCAGGAGCACCTTCCCCGTCACGCTGGGGCAGGCCTGCCGTCCACTGAATCACGGGGCAGATGTTAGCTGGTCTCTCTGCCTACGGGCTCCCTCTTCACCCCTAGAGTACCAGAGAGATTCCTGGAAACTGCCTCATCTTGATAGGCCTTGCTGTCTGTCTCCAGACACCTGGACCTTTCCTCATCAATCACTTCCTGAAATACTATTCCTGCTCCCTGGTCAGCAAGCAGTTCAGATGTCACCTCCTCTGAGAAGCCTTCCTGATGCACAGCCTCAACTGGACACCTCTCCTCAAAACCCCCTCCATGCCCTCCTCATGACATTGTCCCATGACCTTTATTTTACCAGCATCGCTATACGGGTCTGATTGGCGATGCTGACGATTCCTGAAGGGCAGGGTCTGGGTCACCTTGTTTCTGGGTCCCAGCGTCACCCCAGCCTGGGCAGCCTCCCACCAGTACTGGCCCCATAAACGAGCCAACGAGTGAATGATCCAGTACGAGTACAAACAGGGGCACAAAGCCAGGTGATGTGGGCAGATCCTCAATAAAGATGTTTCCCCTCCCGATGTGACTCATGTCTTCTTTTTACCCGGGGGCTCCATAATCTGAGAATTTCTACCTATTAATTATTCTTTTGCTCAAGGGTACCTGCTGTTTGTCAGCTTCATGCTGAGAAAATCCAAACCAGTATGCCACAGAATTAAATTTTTAATTAAGATTAGAGTTTCTCTTTCCTGAGGAGGAAAATGCTCAGAATCAAACACTGCTCAGTCTGTGCTTTCTGTGTGCGGCAGTCATTCCTTCCTTACACACCAGTGCTCTGCAAAGAATGAGCTGACCCTTCGGGAGGAGAAAATCAGTCAGTCTTGGGGGCGCTGGGGGGAGGCATGTGCTACGGTTTAAATGGCCATTTCACAGACCTTCGTATAGTCACGCCCCATGGGCCTTATGCTAATCTGCAACACTGGCAGGAACTAACAGCCCGCTATAAGGAGGAATAAAATGAGGGACGGAAACGCTCCTGAGGCCATAAAGCTCCACTGGAATCCATGAGAGCTACTGGGTGTAAAAAGGAGAGCATGGACCCAGCCCGATCACCGTCTACAGGCTTCGTGGAGAGACACACAGGAGTGGGTCCGGAAAATCGCACACAGGCCCGCCTACATCTGGAGGCAGTCACTGTCACCGTGGGCGGGCTCCGTCCTCTGGGTGGGCCGCGAACCCTCAGGGGCCCTGCTCACATCCTCCGGTCACACGGGGGAAAAGAGTGCCCTCTCCTTTTAGACGGATTTCTCTGTCGTCCACACCTCACCACTTACCTACGAAATGTGCCGTCTGCTGAAAAGGAAGTCAAGGCTGCCAGGAAAAATCCCAGTTGCGAATTCAGGGAAAACCCCCAGATGGGCTGTGACCAGAGGCTCCCCCTACGGGCAGGATGTAGAGGGGGGGTCTCCTCGGGAGCAGCGTCCCGATCCAAGAGCCACTGGTCACTGACTGTCTCGCCACAACTTCAGAAAACCTAAGGCATGGCACCACCACTCGTGAAAGAAAGCAAACGCTGAAATTTCTCCTGACAGATTCCAGAAGATTTGTTGCAAAATATCACATAAAGAGTCCACTTGAGGCTTGCGATTATGTCATGTACTTGCTGCATCGTGCCAGTCAGGGGTTCCGAAGGCGCTGACCTAAGGGGCCACCTGTCTCGGGGGTGGTGTGTCAAACAATGAGAGCACAGAGGCTGCTCTGAACAAAGGAGCACTTTCTGCAGAGACTGAGAAGTCCTCGGTGCAGAAGGGGAACCCGCTGGGGCGGCCAGGGAGGACGAGCCGCCTGCCCTCCCACGCGGGGCGGGGCGGGGGGGGCGCCCTGACCAGAGCCAAGCAGAGCCGGCTGTCCTGCAGGGGTCCGTCCATCCACATGCAGGTCAGGGGCGGGACATACAGAACCTCCTCCGCACGACTGCAGAACCACGTTTCCTCATCTATGGGACGGGGCTGACCCTTCAGCACATGTGCACAAACCTCAAGACAGTTACGTTTTGGGAACACAAATCCATGCTGCCTATTAATGGAATCACCTCCTTCGCACACCTCTGAGCATTCACTCCAGGAAATTACACGCTTTTGAAATAGCAGCAGAAAACCAGTTTTTAGTAGTGAGCATCCCAATTATGGGCTGGTATGAACGTGTGGGCTCTAGCAGAACCCCCAACAACCTACCAAAATCAGGTCTAAATCAGAGGGTTGGATACTCAACAATCACAGTCAGACTGTAATACTGTCAAAAGGGGACCCCTGGCCTCCTGGGGCTCGTTCAAGTTCAGTTCATTAAACTTAAATGAAAATTTAAATTGGGCTCCTCGGTCGCACTGGCCACCCTCCAAGCGCTCGGTGGCGGCCACGTGGGGCCAGCAGCTAGCGGCCTGGGCAGCAAGACACAGGAGGGCCCCCGGGAGGAAGCTCAGCGGGCAGTGCTGACGCGGGAGTGCCCAGCCCAGGTTCAATCCCGGCTCCACCTGCTGACCGCCGCTCGCGGGGGAGTCCCCAGGACGCTGAGGGCGCGTCCTCCTCTTGAAACGGGGCAACAACAGGACGTGGCGCACGGGCGGCGGGCAGGCGGAAGTGAGCTGCCTGTGTGACGCACTCACAACCTGCCCTGCACAGAGGCCGTGGCCCGCGGCCTCATCACAACAGCGCTCCCGCTGCTGGGCTCCGACCGCAGACAGAAAGGCGCTTTGGCGGTTTCATGAGCTGGAGGCCGTGTCTGCAACTGGTAAATCTTCCCGAAAAGCTCCTAGTAACAGAGTTGCCAACTCTAGCATTCATTCGACAGGCATTTCCTGAAGGTGCCCACCCGGCAGGATCAATCCTGAGCCAGGCACGGCGGTCACAAAACCCGAGAAACAGGCAGTTGGCTCGAGGCCAGTCGTGCAGACCCTGGCTTCGGGAAGGGCCGCGGGACGGACAGACCCCGTTCTCCCACAAGGAGAGAAGCCTGAGGCAATGCTGCAGAGAAAGGTCACAGCTCTGGAGGGAAGGGCGAGGAGAACGGGAAGGATGGGCCCCGACGAGGGCAGCCGGCGATGGCCGGCGGGACGGGCATGTCAGACGGGACAGGAGGGCCTGAGGACCACACCTGCAGATCCCAGCGTCCCTTCCCACGTCATCCTTTATTTCTTAGGTTTAAAACATGTTTTTCCTGGTAACCGAAGTCACATACGCTCTCTTCAACGTCTAGACGTTCCTTGTAGCTCCATCTCCTCACCTCAGAGGCAAGAAATCTGAAGGGTCCTGCCCCTGCCCTGGGTCACCCACAAAGCCCCACTGCGGTTGGGGCCAGGGGGTGTCCAAGGGCCCTGGGGTGGGGGGGGCTACTGGCAGACAGGCTGGAGCGGCTAACAGCAACACGGACCTCGGAAGAAAGGGCACACGCAGGGGAAGACCGTATGTGCACAGGTATACACGAGGGGCTGGGGGAGACCAGAGCAGGCCCGTGTCCAAGCCACGTGGCACGGGGGGCATGAAACCAGGATGGCCTGCCTGCGTCCTACAGTCAGGGCTCACCACTGGAGCAGTTCGAAACACACACACACCACACACAAGCACACACACATGTACACACAAGCACACACATGCATGTATACACACATGGCACAAGTACACATGTGTGGGCACGTATGTATATGCAAGCACACACATGTGCACGCACATCACACACGTGTACACACAAATGTATATATGTATACACAAGCATAAATACACACATAAACGTATATACATACACACAAGCACACACATGTACACACACCAAACATGCACGCGCATGCATGTATACACACATGACACAAGTATACACGTATGTAGACGCAAGCACACACATGTGCACGCGTGCACACACCACACGTGTGTGTATACACATGCCACAAGTACACACATAAACGTATATACATACACACAAGCATACACACATGTACGTGCACATCACACATGTGCGCACATGCATGTATACACATCCCGCAAGTGGACACGTGTGTACACACAAGCACACACATGTACATGCACATCACACACATGTACACACAAAAATGTATATATGTATACACAAGCACAAGTACACACATAAAGGTATATACATACACACAGGCATACACACACACCACGCACAAACACACAGGTATACATATATGTACATATGCCGTACACATACATATACACACGCCATACATACACATATGCACACATACAAACATATACACACGTATACATGCATATATATACATACACATGTAAATACACCACAAATATACACCCACTTATACATACATGTACGTATCATGTGCACACACCACAAATACGCATATAAATATATACACTCGTATACATGTAAACATACACATCTCACACAAATATACATTTTTGCATATAAATATATACATGTATACATATATACACACCAAACACACATACACAGATGTACACATATACATATAAGTACACACATCGTGCAAATATACACATGCATATTTATCGTGCAAATATACACATGTATACATACATATGCATGTAAATACACACACGCTTCTCCCAAATGCCACTTACATCATGACAAAGAACATGATTATTTAAAAGTCATACTGGTCCCTTCCTTCCACCCTAAGGCAGGGAACTTGCAGTGGAAAGGTGCTCAAGGGTGTGATTGCAATAGACCCAAGTCGTTTTTTATATAAGGCAATTTGAAGCTTTAAATAATCTCACTGGAAGAATATTTAGACTTTTTAATTAAAACAAAATCTTCTTTTCTGTTATTACTTTGTACCACGGTAAGTCACCAGTCACATTTTTTAAATGATGAATTCCAAAGCTTGACAGCTCATCACAGAAACCTTCATGACATCCTGGCAAAGGATAAAGCAAGCCACATCTGTGCATGTGTGTGTGACTCGGTCTCTCTCTCACACACATGCACGGACACGAGAGAGACAATGGCGGATGGACCCTGCCCGGCATGCACAGGGCCACTCTGGCAGGCTGGCTGACGTGGTTGCCCCAGGCACACTCAGGGCTCCGGTCTCAAACTGTCAGCTACACTTGGTCCTTCCCAGGGATACACCCAGAAGTATGCCCCACGTCGGGGCCCCAGAGACAGCCAGGCCCCATCGGATGCAGGCCTGGGCGTGCTCGCAGGCCACCTCCCGCCCCTTACAGAGGCCCACTTCCTGCAGGTGAGGAACCACAACCACGGAGGCCAGAAGAACCACTCACCACTTTGAGCTCTGGGACAGATCGACTTAACGTCCATTCCTGGCTATTCACAAAGGCATCTGTAAAACAGGACATAAAGCAAGATTAGATGCCACAATCCACTTCAGTGCAGTCAAAATGCCCCCAGTGTGACACTTCCCAAACGAGAGAAACACCAAGGATGGTGAAGACCCACCTCATGAAGACTCACGCTCCTCCCATCCCATTCCTATCCCAAGTCTGTGTCTGTCTCCTAAACTAGGATGTACCCTCCAACAACCCCAAGGGGCCTCCGGAACTTAGCTCTTGTCCACCTCAAATGTCCCCATCTGAACCCCACGGGCCCACACTGTCCAAGGGGTGAGTTAAGACCCTTGTAATCGCACACACTCGCAGGCGGGAAGATCAAGGAGGCCCCCGGCTTCCTGGGAACTGACCCCCGTAGCCATCAGTCAACTTCTGGTCTTTCAGTTTGTCATAAAGACAGTCTCATCTGAAATCCCACCAACAAAGTCATGGAGAGAATGACTGAATTTTGAAAATCCAAATGTTCACAATACAACAGCCATTTATGGTTTAGGAGATTTTGTGGAGTTCTGATGCCCACAAACATATGCTACATTGAAGATGCAGTCAGAACTGTAAGACCTGTCAAAAAGGCCGGGGGAGGGAGGAGGGGATGCCCAGCCACTGTGAGGCCCTCTGCAGAGCCCAGCCCCCGCCGGCCAGCAAGCTCGTGGTGCCCCACACCCCCGCCCTGGCTGGTCGTCTCTGCCCCTCACCTCATGTGTGCGGGTCAGGTGGGCCCACCCAATACAGATGACCCAACGGCCTGACTCCCCACACCTCCCACTCACCCCTTATCAGGGAGACCCCACAACACCAGCCATACTGTGCACTTATGAACAGACGGAGTTGAGCTCACAAAAAGGTGGCAGCCTGTTCCCACCACAACCGGCCAAGGGCAAACCCCTTTCATTCCAAATGGGATTCCCTTTCCATTTTCCACAAATTCAGAAATTTCATCACTCCACGTTACATCCAAGAAGAAGTAAAGTGATTCACAAAATACCTAAAAGTCAAGGAACATCCATCATTTTCAAATACATACATGATATTCTAATACCATGGGTGCAGGAATGGAAGCAAAGGGCATAACCGTGCAGTCCCCCTGGGGCTATCGCACAGAAGGACAAGAAACGTGTCTGAAGGAAGCAAGGAGAACACGATCCACGGAGACACAAAAATGAGGTAGGCGGCCAGTGAACAAACCAGACTCCGGGGCCCTGCAGAGGTGCGCGGGAGGTGGGACAGCCCATCACGGAGGATTCTGGTGCTCAGCAAAGGACGGGTCCAGGGGGTTGGGAGAAGACAGGAGACCGTTAGCGGCTGGGGTAGACCCACAGCTGATACAGACACATCTGGTCACCTCGAAACCTTAGCTAGAAAAGGGACTGGTGTTGAATGTCAGACACACTGGGCTCTGGGGGGCCGAGTGGCTGGCCAACAGGCAGAGTGGGTGGGCAGAGGTGTGTCAGCAGGAACTCAGGAAGAAAGACACTCGTGAAGGCAAAGACCAAGAGCAGCTTCTCTACCCCCCATTGAAGCAAGCACACTGGGGGCTATCAGGGTGCACCCACTCTTCGGTGAGCCAAGCAGCCCCTGGTGTGCCACAGATAAGACATCTCCTGCAAACAGATAAACAAGGACACTATCAGCACAGAGCCTGACCCTCGGTAGGCATGGGGCAAACGGTAACGAACATCCTTCTGAGTGAACAGCACTGCTAGTTAAGTTGCAAAACACTTATTTTCTGTCACCAACGGCTCTCTTGAAAAAAATGGGAATGTGGCCTTATAGGATCTGCAGGGTGACCCCAGTGATCCAGGAAAGCCAGTGACCATGACGCTCCCACCCTGAACTGGACACTCCAGAATGTCCCAGAAGTCACCCTGTGGCTGTGTGCGTAACCAACCCAAAGCAGGTTTGCTAGATTTAGACAGATCCATGTGACGGAATACTAAGCAGCTGAAAAATCACCTGAAGCCTCAACGCACATAAACACAATGTCCCCAGGCTCTGGTCAGTGGGGCACGTGTGTGTAGGGGGCCCTGCAGGGACAAAATACACATATGGGCCTCTCCAGGCTGAGCGGGTTTCCAGTCGAGTTCCTGACTTAAGGCTTGGGAACCAGGTGGCTTAGGGACAAGGGCAATGAGGTGACGACTCTCCTTCCCTTGTTACCTCTTGGAACCTTCTAAACTTTATTCCATCTGGGATGTAAAAAAATCACATAATATAGTTTTTAATATGAACCACAACAATAAAACAGAGTAAAGAATTAAAATGAGCTCAATTCATGAATGCACTGCTGATTCTTAAACACCCACCACCGACAATTGTTTCTCACAACTAATATTAAATATTCTTTAGAAATTAAGCAGGGCCCATTAAACAAAGATACAGGGCTATATATAAACACTGGAACACACGTGTGGCACCTCTTTACTTGCAAATGCATCCTCACTCCAATGGCATGTTTGTGTTTGTGGCAATGAGATTAAATGAATAAATACATGAAATAAATGCTTCACTGATCAAAAAAAAATCATCTTCCATAAAAAGAAACATTTATTTTAAAAACTTGCATCACTGGTCAGAACATAATGCTGCTTAAGACAAGGATCAATGAAAAATAACCACAGATTTGCAGAGATGGACATCCCAGCACGCGCCTAGATCCTTCTCCTCTGTTGAGAACTTTCTGAGGACTGGAGGCTGCCGCCTCTACCTGGGGGAGCCGGTCCATCTCAGGGCGAGCAGCCCAAGGCCAGGCCAGCTGCCGTATTTCCTTTTATGTTCCCAGGGCAGCTCCACTGGAAGGATGAACGTACTTTGGGGGCACACAACTGGGAATGTGTGTGTCTGTGCATGTGTGTACACATGTGGATATGTGTTCTCAAACCAGCTAGCACCAAAAGTCACAAGATGTGTCTCACTTTCAGAAGAGACCATTCTGTGCCCCACTCAATTCCCCCCCTTAGATAGAATATTATTAAGAAAATGCTCAGGTCATGAACCTGGGGTCCTGGATCAAGCCCCCATATCAGGCTCCCTGCTCAGCGGGGAGTCTGCTTCTCCCTCTCCCTCTGACCCTACCCCTGCTTGTGCTCTCTCTTTCAAAATAAACAAAAAATTCTTTTAAAAATTAAAAAAAAAAAAAAAAAAGCCTTCTCATGGTGCCTGGGTGGCTCAGTCAGTTAAGCGTCTAACTCTTGGTTTTCAGCTCAGGTCATGATCTCAGGGTTCTGGGACTGAGCCCCACATCGGGTTCCCAGCTCAGCGTGGAGTCTGCTTGAGATTTTCTCTCTCCCTCTCTCTTTGCCCCTCTGCTCCCCCCCCAATAAATAAATCTTTAAAAAAAAAAAGAAAAGAAAACGCATTCTCATGCACTGGCTTAAATGCTACGGAATTGGGTTTTAAACTCAAACAGTGGTCACCACTGACTGACTGCTCTTAGCCTGTCAGCAACACTGAGGCTCCCTCGGCTGTGGTCCCTGTGGGGCAGCAAGGCCCCGGCCGCGTGATGCCATGGGTAATCCCAACACAGCTGAGAAAAAGAAGACATGTAATCACTTCTTACCATTAACAAGGCACCAGTTCCAATTACACTACTTAAATTTAAATCATGATATTAGGAAGAAAATCTCCCAAGAACTCCAAGATGAGGGACCATGAAGTAATAAGGAACTTTCATCAGGAGTGAAAAACCCAAACTATCAGCTTCTCTGGGACAGAACTCTGAAGGCAGTTAGAAGATGCAGCCCTATCGGGGAGGTTAAAGCAGATTCACAGGGGTGGGGCCCTGAGGACGCAGGGCGTAGTTACATGAAGAGGCAGAAAACCAAAATTACTGAACGCCGGGGGAAACAATGTATCAATTAAACAGAAATTCTCAGCCCTCATTATTCTGAATCGATAACCACAATATGTGAAGTTGAAGGAAAACACAGCAAATCCCCACAAAGTGCTATGGGTCCACAGTTTTAGTGCTCAAGAAAGTTCTAAATAACGAAACGTGGATGCCAGCAGGGTTCCTTCCGAACTTCACCCTGCATCGGGAAATAGAAATCCAACCACCCAGAGGATGTGAACATTCTCTGTACGCACAGGTGTACACATGGCGAGCCCGATGCCTCGTGGAGAGTTCCCGCAACCACACTCCGCAGGTGCAGTCCCCGAGGCGCAGGGAATTAGCACCCACAAGGAAAATTCAAAATACCTGGGTGGTCAATTAGGGGTGTCTTTAGCAGGTTTTTTGGGTTTTGGCCTACCTGTATTTTTTTTTTAAGATTTTATTTATTTACTTGTCAGAGAGCGAGCGAGTGAGCACAAGCAGGGGGAGTAGCAGGCAGAGGGAGAGGGAGAAGCAGGCTCCCTGCTGGGCAGGAAGCCCGACCTGGGGCTCGATCCCAGGACCCTGGGATCATGACCTGAACCGAAGGCAGCCGCTTAACCGACTGAGCCACCCAGGCGCCCCTAACCTGTATTTTTTAAAATCAACTGTCATCAGTTTTAACAGTCTTCTTTAAACAGGCAATGAAATAAAAAGTAAGTGGGTCTGTGTCCAGACTGTTTTCCCAAGTTGGGGGAGGCGGCTTGAGACATGGGCATATGGATACTACCGTGTTTTACTCCCGTTTGGTCTCCCGCACTCCTGAGTAAAGGGGCCACTGAACGGTCAGCACGTCCACACACGTCGCACGTCCGTGGACAGTAGCTTCAAGGCTGGAGCACAGAGACTGCCGGTCCCGGCGCTGCCCGGGTGCCTGCGATCTGGTCGCGCCCTCATGGGGGTCGGGGGTCCCGGTGCCCGTGGTGCTCTGGTCAGCTCGACTCAGCACCCCCTGAACTCCTACTCGTCCTTCTGACGGGTGAGTGGGACTCCGGACTTCCCAGCTCTGAACCTGCTCTGCTGTCGGTGCAGAGGAATGTGGGGATTACACAAACACCAAGGAGAAAGCCCCCTGCCTCCCCCCCCTCCAGGGAGGCCCCCCCTCCTTTAAGGGACGCGCGCAGA